AGTTTTTAATCTTTTCATTTCTGCAACGTCCTTCTCAGTCTATATATAAAACGAAGGGCTAACGCTCGAAACGTCAGCTTTTGTAATCGTTACGGTTTCCAATTTACCACTTCAACTTTGTTGATATATCCAAATTACTTCCTTTTCAAAGTCTCGAAAAAATATAATTTTGGAACATACTTTCTACAGTGGATCAAGACGTTTTAAACTAAAGTGTCCAGCTGTGTTCTAAACAATGGATTTGCTACTGATGTGTTCCCAGTCAGATGCGGAGTTAGGCAAGGTGACCCCTTGTCACCTTTAATATATATCTTTGCTCTTGAAATGCTCAGTTGTCGAATTCGTGAAGACAATCAATTTAAAGGTATATTGGTTAAGGGGGAAGAAATCAAACTAACCCTTTTTGCCGATGACATGACTTTTTTCCTTAGAGATACTACGTCATATCACCGTTTACTGTCGACTCTGGAGTCGTTTTCGAGATTCTCTAACCTGCAAGTCAATAAAGAAAAGACTAAATTTTTTGCAATTGGTAGCCATCGTCTTGATCGAAACAATTATGCTCATAAAGTACGAGCTTCAATTAAAATTCTAGGAATTGTTTTTGACTATAACGTCTCATCTAGGATGAAAACGAACTTCGAAGCAATTTTAAAGTCTATTAAAAGTACAATAAATATGTGGAAATGGAGAGGGCTTACATTTCTGAGAAGGATACAGCTTGTTAAACCGTTTATCATCCCTAAAGTCTTGAGTAAAGCGTCGTTGATTACAATCACAGATGATTTAATCAAAGAGGTCAACAGGCTGATGTACCGTTTTATTTGGAAAAAAAATGATAAAATTAAACGCGCCGCTCTTTTCAATGATATTAAGGATGGAGGGCTTAAGATGTTGGATATTCAGTCGATGACCCTCGCACAGAGGGTGATGGTATTAAAAAAGTTCACAAATAAGGATAATAACAGCTCTTGGAGAATAACATGAAATTACTTCCTTTCTCAGGAAGGAGAAGAATTTATTCTTAAGTGTAATTTTGATACCAGACAGTTACCTATCTACCTTCTGACCTTTTATAAGTAGTGCCTGGAGGCTTGGTCCAGGTTGACGCGACCTTCGATTCCTTCGCACGAAGATGTAGTTCACCAGGTTATATGGAACAATTAAAATATTACTGTCCAAAATATCTCATTTTTTGAAGATCACTTGTTTGCTAAAGGAATTATTACGATCGGTGATTTCATTTCTGACACTGGAATCTTCTTAAAGGGTATTAAGGTGTTACATGCAAATCTATCTCCGCTACAATATTTTAAATTAATGAGCGTCATAGACGCCATTCCTCGTCACTGGGGACGTATTATTAGACAAAGCGCTCAACATCCCCCCTCTCGTACAAATGACATAACCTATTTGAATTTGGAAAATTCTGAGGTAATGTTAGCAAAAATCCTATCCAAATCGCTCTATAACGCGTTTAAAAGCAAAAAGAAAATCCCCCCAACTGCACAGAAAAAGTTCAGGGAAAAATTTCCACAATTTCCGTTCGACTGTGTATATGGAACTCTACGCTTTCCTAGAGTCTCATCTACTTGTAATGAATCAGTTTGGTTTCCGTCGAGGTAGATGAACATCGCTTGCCTTGACACAAATTCCCGATGAAATGCTTGCAAATATGGACAATGGTCTCTTAAATACGAAGGTGCACTATAAAAGGAGCCTTAAGTCCCACTGGACCATTTGTCAATCAACCGTCGTGTGATGTAGAACTCTTAGAGTGAAGTCAGCTTGAGCTACAGCTACAGCTACAGAAATCGCTCAAATCATGTGTTGCTTTGTTAAAATGTACCGCTACTTCCCAGGTCTTTTTATTAGTGACCATAGCAGACCTATGGTTGCGAAATCTAGCTCTAAAGTCATTTGTTGTGGGACCAATGTATTGCCGGCGACATTTCTTGGACGAAGCGAAGTAAATGATTTTCTCAGAATAACAGGAAAGTTTCAGTCGTATTTTGTAACTCTTGCCGGTTTGAAAACACAAAAAGGGATTAGATTCAACCAAGAAGTTGCGACAAAGATCGCATCTTGTTCTATTACATTTAAAACATCCTTTAACCTCAACAGCCTCTTCAGGGAACTGAGGTGAGGTTAGTAGTGTTTGCCTCTAAAGCGCAAATTGCATTGTTTAAACCGTAGGGAAGAAATGTTCCACATATTCAAACAGGGGTTTATATTAGACAGAACAGTTTTAACTGGTGTTTCGAAAGAGCAAAACCGTTGTAATCCAAACGGGTGGTCGGAACGGAATGGTTAACATAGAAATTAGCAATTGAGAACCAGAGATATTAGCGGGCACCGTCTAGAGTGACGCTATTCGCGTCATTCACTAAGAGGGGCTAACGCTCGGAACTTCAGCTTTTAAAAACTTTCCACAGTGTCCCGGCGATAAAATAGTGACCAGTTTCAGGAGCCCATTACCTTCAATGGGCTCTTACCCGTCTTTAACTATACCTTTTTTTTTTTCAGAGTTCGTTTTAGAATTATCGAACTGAGCCAGAAATTAAACAAGCTCAAGAAATTTACTGCTACACGTGTAGAAGCGAATGGAGGTAATTAAGGAAAACTCATAATGAAAATTGTTATCTACTCGCTTAAATAAACGTTAGAGAGAAAATTACTGACGCATACTAAACGTTTCAAATTCATTTCCAAGTTTAATCGTTTCCGGCTGATACCCATGTTGATGATGCTGTTATTTCATTCAATGTTGATTGTAGTCTAAATGAGACCTGCGTTAAATAGGGATTATAAAAGAATCGAAATAAGAGAACTGAAGCGGTTTTTAACACTTTTTATATTTTTTGGATGCACTCATATTCCAAAGAGCAATTTGTCCGATTCAATGAAGCTTGCTCTCCGATGGAAACCATCAAGTGATGTGTCCCTCAAGGCTCGATTTTAGGCTCACTATTGTTTATTCTATACATTAATGACCTTCCTAATGCCTCTAATTATCAGACCCTCTACTTTTCGCTGATGACACCAGTATCTTTTATTCTCACTCAAATCTAAATTGCTTAGAATCCATACTTAATGATGAACTCCAAAACATTGACGTTTGGCTAAAATGTAACAAGCTTTCAGTTAATATAAAGACAACCAACTATATAATTTTTAAACCCAGACAGAAGAAATTTAGCTTCAGCATCTCTCTCTCCTATGGAGGTAAACCCCTACAACAAGCTAATGTAACTAAATTCCTTGGGTTCTATATTGACAATCATCTCACCTGGAAATACCATATCAGCTATGTATGTAAACAAATCGCTAAATCAATAGGTATTATATTTAGGTCTCGCTTTTCCCTATCCTCTGCAACCAAATTCACTTTGTATTACACCTTGGTTTATCCCTATATCGTCTATTGTAACTCCGTCTGGTCGTCCACATACCTACATAACTTAAATAGAATTTATTATTTGCAGAAGCGAGCTGTGCGGGCTATCACCAACTCAGACGATTGAGACTACTCTGCCCCTTTATTCTCCAAACTAGGAATTTTAGATATTTTCCAAGTCAATACGTTTGAAATCGCCAAATTTATGTTTTATTTCAAAAATAACTTATTGCCCCCATTGCTTCTCGATCTTTTTGTAAGGAATAGCCAAATTCACAACTATGGTACCAGAACAGCCAGTAATTATCGAACGCATTTGTGTCGTACAAATGTCAAGCAGTTTACAATTCTCTACCAAGGTCTTAAAATTTCGAGCTCTCTCCTTATTGCAGTCACTCGTTCGTCAGACTTTCTCAGCTTTAAAACGAAATTGCAAGAGCTTTTACTTAAATAATCACTGAATTGGCCAAGCCGCACATTCGCAGCACTTTTTCTTTACTTAATTTGTTATTGTAAGTGAGGTGGCTCTCCCATAAGCCTGGCGGCTTCTTGGGTCTCCTCGCCTTCTAACTGTTATCGCTATAATTAAATATTTTTTTGATTGTTAAGATAAGGCAAATAAAGAGGATGATGATGATGTAACAGCAGTCTTCATAAGAGAATAATAACACACATCTTACGGGTTTATTACCAAGCCCCAATTTGGCCTGTTAGCTCAGTCGGTAGAGCACTCCACTGGCATCGCAGAGGTCATGGGTTCGAATCTCGAACAGGCCTGAATTCTTTTCAGGTTTTAATTTCACTATTGCTTAGATATTGCTGCACACTGCGAATATCGTTCTTACGCGTTTCTGTAACCGCAGTTCAAATATATCAGTCTCATATATTCTTAGCAAATAACAACACTGGTGGCTTTTGTTCGACGTTCTAGCAATTAGACTAGAGATCTCTGCAGATGGTTCAGGCCTATAACAGGACGAGAAAATGTCAGAATTCATTTCATTTTCGTGTTAAACAGTTTGCCTCAATAAAGTAAAAGAGCAATAACAATTGCATGCGCTGTACCACATTCGCACAAAAGGTGTTTTGTTAGACAGTTAAAAATTGTTTTCTTCATAGAGGCTGCTTAATTAAGTGATGTTTGTAGACTTCAAATTTAGCACGTTGAACTGAATTATTACAACTTGGAGACTAATTGAAATTTTTGAAAAACTCATTCAGTTTCTTAGGTCTCTGTGAATTCCAGAGAATCACAGGGTAGCGCCGCTTAGCAGTGGAAGGATAGCTAGCACATAGAGCCCCAAAACGAACGCACAAGCACCACGTGTAACAATCCCAAGTGTTTTAATGTTATGTGATACAAAGTGGAACGCAGCCAGGTGGCGATAAATAAGGTAGTTGCTGAATACTTCATGTGATTTCGATAGTAAATGTGGTAGAATTATGTGTGTGTGTTTCGAACTAGAAGGTAACAGAAAACGAAACGAAGCTAATTAATTGACTTACAAACGATGACACAGCACAATGACCTATTCTTGAAATCAACTGAACTAATAATGAAGGAAACGATAAACTAAATCGAGCATAAACAATATAGGTAACTTACTTTGGTAGAGCTCCTAGCGTACTTAAAAAGCGCGGGTAGCGGAGTAGACAAAACAATTTTACAGTGAGTAGCGGAGCGCACGACCTCTCGTCAGCGATCAAAAAATGGTTCTCTCTTTGTCGCAAGCCCGTAATATAAGCGAATGACTGACATAAATTGCGGAACATTTTCACACCAATTACAGTAATCGACAAAAATAAACCGTAAGGTAGATAAACATTAACTAAGCATAGACAATAGGCAGTTAAGCAATAAATAGTCTAAAGTACAAAGAAAATAAATAGCGTTTCAAAACTAACAGTCTCTGTTTTTGATTTTAAATCTGTTAAACCAAGTTTTACTAAACATATTTTGCTGGTGTGAATGAGGTCTAAGACATACTTTGAAAGTTAAGCTTTGTAAGAAAATTGTCAAAACTTATTTTAACAGATGACATGACAATTAACTTCGACTGTCTAAAACCGCTTAATATTTATTGTCTTATTTGCAATTAAGCGTGTTAAGTACAGTTGAGCGTCCAGACCACCTCCATCTGTTAATATGCCCGAAGAAAGTTCTTATTTGTCATTGGATTATATCATGTTGACATTGACTTACATCTTAAGAACACATATCATAATTAGTGTCTACCCTTTATTGAGCTTCATTGTTTATGCGATAAAAAGGAACATTTTATGCAGAATCACTATCCTGAAAGGAGAGAATTGTCCTGCTAAAGAATCACAACACATTTTATTTATTTGGATTAAGGGTTCCTATTTCTTATACATGAGTTAACATCATGAACGAATTGTTTTGCAAGGAGTCTTCGCAATATCTTGCTATATACGCCGAACTTGCAGATCTTCAATCGACTTTTATCGCCAACTGTGTCTTCAACATTTGTCTAACTTACACCTCCATCATGTTCAATATTGTGACAGTCTATGCCATACACAAAACCTCGACGATGGCAAAAACTTTAAAAACTCTGCTGCCAAGTCTTGCCTGCTCTGATGTTGCGGTTGGTTTGTTTAGTCAACCATATACATTTTCCTTCTAATCAAGTGGCTAAAACTGGACAATACCGGCTGTAACACTCTGCTAGTGTGGACTATTTCTGGTACTCCAGTTTCAGCTGCCTCGTTCCTTGGTGTTGTGGCTGTAAGTGTAGACAGGTTCTTAGCTGTTCATCTTCATCTCAGATACCAAGAGCTTGTTACTCACAAGCGTGTTGTTATTTTGGTGATCGGCATGTAGGTGTATAGTGCATATGTTTCTTCGATTATATCGTGGGAGTTACTCAGTACTCGAGATCTTATTACTTCAGTTTCTGCGTCTTTCGGCTTCATTCTGACATTTGTGGTGTACATCAGGATATATTTAACTGTCCGACGACACAAGAATCAGATTCAGTCCATGCAAATACGAGACAAAGCTCAGTGTGATGAATTGAAAAACTTTGCCAGTCTCATTAAATCAACAGTTGGTATATTCTACGTATTTCTCGTGTTTTTAAGTTGTTATTTGCCTCTTTTCATTTCCATGGCTGCTATTCAAATCTATGGCTCGAATTTCGCTTTAAAAAAATTCCATCTTTTCTCATGGACTCTCGTGTATCTAAATTCAACTTTGAACTCTATCATTTATTGCTGGAAGATGAGACAAATTCGACACGCTATCATGGACATACTGAGGAAG